TAACGAGCAGGCAACGACCCACTACAAGATCTTGAGTAAAACTGACTAGAATTCGACAATAAGTTCAAACTGCCTTGCCCAGTGCACCTCCTCGCAGTGCACTTACTTTCAGAAAGGGTAAATATTCCCGTGTCGTAACTCTAACCTAAAAGTAAACTGTAACCTTTATCTTAACCCTGATCCTAAACCGACAGCCTACAGTTACCACGAACCCAAACCTTAACCCACAACATAACCCTGCCCCTAGTCCCAATTCTGGCTGAATCTCCAACCTTGAACTTAAACCATTTGTAATGTGTACAGTACCTGTAGTCATTTTCGAATTCGCAATACAGATGTCATGCTCGAAAACAATTTGTGAGACTAGAACACGTTTGCACACCTCCACTGTTAAATGACCTTTAGTGCTTTGACCAAAACCATTCATGACGGTGGATTTGTCACAAATTCGGCTGAAAGGCCGCGATTTACAGGTTAGCACCACTTTCGCATTTGCACAACTAGTGAATAAATCTGTTTTAACCAGCAAAAACACGGACGGATATCCGAACAAGAGATACAGGCCAGTGCTAGAAACGGTAATAAGCCTTGGATGACACTGTAGACCCCCAGTTTATCATTCAAAAATGTGCACTTAATCCGATTAGTGACGCAAAACTGGTGTCTTGCGATCTCCGGCTTAGTTTTCTCGTCGTTTCGCTCATGTTTTTTCGTGAAGTGAGAAAATTTGCCGGTTTTCTCAGGCGGAATGTTATACCCTTCCCCCGCCACAACGTTTCATCGAGCTATGCAGCAAAATAACAGTATCGAAGAAAGCAGACTAGGTTTAAGAGAGGATGTGGAAAACTATATAATATATCCAGTAAAGTCTACACCGTCGACACAAATATTGTGAGTTTTCGTGTGGCCGATCGCTTCTGTCTGACTGGGTATTGACTCAGTTGTTGAAATCATGTTGACAGGTTTGGAATCACCGGTGTTTACTTGGGTCTCATGCCATAACAGCCGCATGTATTCCTCTGTCAAATCTGTTATTTTCGGAGGACGTTGGCAGATAATTGACTCCACTACTGTCGTGCTGTTCGCAGATTTGTGACCTGTGACTTTCTTTGATTGTGGGTTCGATTGAAATTTCGCAATGTCAGGTCAATTAACTTATAGTTCCAACGGTCGCATCTCCTTCTGAAAGTAAAAAATTCGTAAACCAACACAACTTGCTATTTAGGTGGACCCGGAACACCGAAATCTTACATTCGCGGCTAGTGTTCTGCTATCTGAGCCACCAGAGAATGGCCGCCACCGACTACGGAAGGTTCAAGATCCTCCTGTTTCTGATGGGTTTTACTGCTGACATCTTAAATACAAATGAAAATTCCTTAAGGATGTGTTTGAAACTAACAGCAAACATTAGTTATTAGAAGCGTGTATTCACTCTGAGAGATAGTTTACGTCCCCTGCGATATAACAGTTTTGATCCATTGAATAGGTTCTTTTCTCTGCCTAAAATGTGCACCTTGCAACTATAGTGAAATATCCCTTAGACTCAAATTTGTCTAGCATTGCGAGTCGGATACATGGTAACAGCTGAGAATGCTGTCGCTCGCAAGAAATGGAAGAATATCCAGCTCAAGTCCGTTGTAGGGGTAGGAGGGAGGAGTGTTTTGGCCAGATGAATTCCTATTTTTATAGTCTGCAGCTTTCACCAGCGAATTTTTATCAGTGTGACTTTTTGTTTATTACCTGTCGCATAATTTGCCTGAGCACCCCTTTCTTTCTGCATATCCCCCCTTCCCCATACAGCCCTGCTCATCTACAGAGTTTTCCCGCGGTGTTCGAAGCTTGTGCTGAAGGCCCTGCACGCTGCTCTCCTCTTGTCAAGTCTAGTCATTGGAGCAGTCGGTCTGCGCGCAGCCTACAGTCCCCTCCACGGCCAGCCGTATAGCCTGCACAGCTGGCTCGGAATCATCGTCTTCACCCTCTACGGCCTGCAGGTTCTTGACCATTTTGTGCCCAGGAATTTGCTATTTTTCTTCTCGGAAAAACGGGAGAAGAGTCCTTGCAGATAGTCTTGCTAGTCTACAGTGCTGCAATGAAGTAACTTGATTGCCAGCCAGAGAGCATAAGTGTTGTAACCGCGTGTGCTCCTGTGTCAACACCGCTTATATCCCCCAGTTGCGTGTTAGGAAGAGATGGCAGAACAGGATAACAGATAGTACTTTACTGTCAGTTGTACTAGTACATCAGCTCTGTTCCTGTGTGTCAAGCAGCTTGTGTTCTGTGGTCGGTCTCGTCTCGGCAGCGGTCTCTCGTCTAGGGCCACAGAGTCTCGGGTCGTGGGCAGCGTCTCTAACAACAGAGTCCTATTCTGCTCGCAGTCTCGCTATTTAAGGGACACTCGTCATTTCTCCCCATTGGCTCTCAATGTGTGGTCGTTCGCGCGCTCGCTAACGCGCGCCTGTGCATCTGTCCTCAGCGTGACCTCACTGATAGCA